GGGGGGGGGGGGGGGGGGGGGGGGGCGGTTGCTTTTTTTCCACCTCTTGGAAGGAAACTGCCGGGGTACCTTTGCATTGGGATCAAGTGCGGCTGCACGGAGCCAGGCCCGCGAGTAGCGCGCCCCGGGGAGGCAGCGGGCTCCCTGCTTTGGAGCCAGGTCCTTTGCTCTGTCCCCACCGCATCACATGCTCGCCCAGGCCAGGCCATTCAGCGGAGCGACAAGGCGTGGCTCGGGTCGCCCCCTCCCAGGGGTCCCTTTAAACGCGGGCTGATCTGAGCAGCAAGCCTGGGCGGGGCAGGGCCGGGCCGGGCCGGGCCGGGCGCTTTGTGCGGCTCCACCACCGGGCAGGCAGCGCTGGCTCAGCAGTCCTTAGGTGTGTACGTGGGGAGAGGGAGGCGGCCTCTTCTCTTTGTTCCCCTACAACAATAGTGGCAGAAAGGAGCGGCGGGAGGCGCTGCCCAGGCAGGGGGAGCTGCCGGTTTCCAGATCCGCGGTTTCTCGTCCCTGCCGGGCTCCGAGTCTGGGGGAAGAGGTTGGCCAAGTGCCTTAGCACAAGGGGCTGGGGAGGGGGCAGGCTCTCAGCTCCCTCGCTCAGGCTGGCAGCAGCCTGGGAGTCTGCAGCAACAGGGGGCTTCGAGCTGAACTCCCAGAGGCAGAAGAGCCTCCTCCAGCAAGGCCCCTGGAAGCTGCATGGTGCTCAGCACCCCTCCTCAGTCCCTGCTGCCAACAGATGGCTTCCAGGAATTGGCTCCATCCATGGAGTCTATTCAAACTGGCAGCCCCCAGGGCCACTGGCCCCACAGTGGCATTTGCAGACCAAGTGTCTCCTTGAGGATGACCCAGGCAGGGAAGGGAAGGTGAGCAGGTCAGTGTCTTAGGGGCAAACTCACTGTGGGCTGTCTCCATCCAGGATACTGGCACTGTGAGAAGCATCCCCAAAAGGCAGTTGGCTTTGCAACTGGGGGACACTTCTCAACCCCAAGGGTTGCATTGCATTGAAACAGGAGGATTGAGGGCTTTTACAGTTCTGCACCCAGCAAGGGTTATGCCCATTCATATAAGGGCCTAATCCCCACTGGAAACATGCTGAGTGGTTTGCCTCACTCCATCTGATTCACAAGTTTAATAAGCATGTAAAGTCTTTGGGGCAGGGCCTGGCTCCATTACATGTGTACATTTCCTAGGACAGGGGTGTCAGACTCAGCCTTCCTTGCAGCCTGCATCCAGATTATGGGGCTTTTCCTGGGCCAAAGGCAGCCCTGGGGGTTAACAGCCATCACTTGCCCCTGCCACTGATATGCATCCCCAGCAGAGCCCCTGGTTTTGATGGTGGGCCTTGCTCCTGCTTACTGTGCCCCCAAAATCCTATCCTGTCTGGTAACCCTGTGGACTAGATGACATGGCTCTGCAGGCCCTACGCTTGACAACCCTGCCCTAGAGTCATGAGACTAGGGCATCTTTTTACAATAGTACAACCACAGCAGGCAGCAGCACCATTGGTAGCATCAAGTTCCACAGATTTGTTGGGTATCAAATGCAGATTATTTACTTGGATTCATGTAAACCACCTTACACCTAGTGCTATGAGTAGCTCTACTCAAACAAATAGTCCAGGCAAATGGGATTATTCATGGGAATAAATGGCACTTATATGAGTAAGACTTTGCAAAATTGGACCTGAAAGTTGTGATTTCTTAATTTTATTGCATCTCCTTGCAGTAGTGTTTATGCTAGGACCATTTACCTCTGCACTCTTAAGTATTTGTCTGTGAGTTGCCATAAATACAGTGATTCAGTTCCTTAACATAAAATATGATAGAAGAGTACATCTTCTACAGAAAACCTCTCTGTGTGTGCACATGTGCATGTTTAATTTAGACAAGGGTCACAGAGGACACAAGATGCATTATTACCAAAAGCTTGTGGAAAAAAAAAAGAGGCAGCGATTTGCTTCACAAACGTGGTAATGTTGCATGAATGGACTTTCCCAGGGGTTGCCAGAGGCCAGAATTACAAAATGTTATCTCTTAGGGTGCCCAGACCAAAGCATTTCAATCTCTGTTCATCTTGAAGTCTCCAGAAGGTCCACTGAATGACAGCTGGGATTTCACTGCTGAGTCACTGGACCATCTGGAGAGGACGATAGAGAGGAAACCTATTTTTTGGACATAGCCTGCCAACTTCTTTCAGGCCCAGCTAAGCCATCCGTCACCTCTGTCTACACTTCCTCTGAGAAGAACATCTTACTGAACTGCCTGTTTAACTTTCAAATTTACTTTTCCCCTCTAGTCCCCAGTCCCCATCTCAGGCTTTCTGATTGTTACTGTGTTTCCTTTGAAGGACAGAGACTCATTCACAAGCATCTTTTCTGTGTGCTTATACAGGAACTGAACATGCATCCACTAATCACAAAGTGATTTCATTTGGCTGCATAAGATGGAGGGAATCCATCCAACACTCTCATTTGCTCCTGCTTTGCCCTTTTAAGTCTTCCCAGTTTCCTTCCCTGCCTGGGCATGGCAGGATGCTCCTCCATTTATCTTGCCTACTGTAGCTCTCAGCTCCATTCTGCCCCATAGGTGCTCTGTTGCACGCAGGGCTGGACACAGGAATGGGCACCAGGCAACCACACAGGCCCAGACAGAAAGGGAGCCTGAATGATAATTTTTTTGTCCGATTATCGTTATTATTATCATCATCATCTCTGGCGAAGGGGGGCCTGAAGTTTTCCTGGGGCTTCCAGGAGTCTAGGTAGAGTGCTGGTTGCACAGGGAGTCTAACAGTCGCTGCAGCATGCTGCCAGAGCAATAAAGCATGTCAGAGCAGGGGACTGCCGGCTATTGGAAGGTAGTGGGAGACAGTCATCATTTGCTGGAGCTGGAGGTTAGCTTCACTGCAAATCAGGCCTTGTAATTATAAAGCTCTCCCTGTACAAGAAGATGGGGAGGAGGCTTAGGGAACCCCTAGCTGTGGTGGCAGAGCAGAGCAAGCCATCTCAAGGAGCTGAGACAGGGGTTTTGGCTGGACCCCAGTCTCTGGCAGGAGACAAGGCAGAGGAAGGGGGTAGTTTCAGCCTTGGATACAAAAGCAGAGATGCTGCTCCTGTGTGCATTCCCTCTGCTAAAGCTCCAGAAGGAATTCCACCTCCTTCAGCCACAGCTAAAGGAGTGCCCACCCCTACCTGCCTCCAGGAGGGCACTGCATTTTAGCCTAATCCTGGCAGTTCTGTGAACCTGCACCAGCATGTGCAAAGGGCACATGATGCACCTGGAGTGCAACTGTTCAAATCCCAGGACATACGGCCCAGGTGGGGCCTCTACATGTCAGTGCTGACAGCACTGTTAACTGCCATAAAGGGTATTTTAAAAACAAGGGGCCAGCCCACTGGTATAAATAGGTATTGTGCCAGCGGAGCAGGATTTGGCCCATTTGTACTAATCTGATTCACATCAGCTTGGAAGCTGGTGCCATCATTTTTAACCTAATGGATCATGCAGAAAACCGGTCAAGCTCCTGGTTCTGTGCTTTCTTTTAACTGTGAACCAAACGCTTTTAACACTGTATTTTATAAGAAGAAAAATGCACATGCGCACACACAGAGGCAGTGAGAAGATGCACTAGAGAATGTTTCTTCTGGGCTGAGAATTTAGAGACTATCAATGTGAAGTGAATATTTACAGCTACATTATTTATAAAGCTATCCCATAAGGGATTTGTAATGGGAATGCAGATTCATCTTTAATGCACAACTGCAAATAGTGCTGCTGAACTACAGAGTTTAATTACTGCTGTGATATATGCTGCTGTTTCCAGCCATGCCACCCTTTCAAAAGCCTTCCACTTCCGTATGTGTTATGTCGCATTCAGGAGATGGAGATGACTGGCGAGCCTGTCAGCTTCCCCCAGGTCTAATGGTCAAGCTAGAGGCTGGCATAATACCCTGACATGTTTCCAGCCCACATGCAGGTGGCCATCCCCACTTGATAACACATCCGTCTATGGTTGGCACATAAACTAGGTTCCTCTTTTGCTTGCAGCTATCCTATGCATCATCTATGTACATAAAATCAGCTAACTGCACTGGGGCTGGAGTGCATGTGATCTCTTCTACCTCTGCCCATTGGCTTGGTAGCTGGTGACTCTTTTGTACCCAGCTTTCTACTTGGTGTGAGAGTTTTTAGGGGTGAGGAGTAGAAGGTATTCCCCTTTCTTTTGCTGCTTTCTAGGGTCAAAATCTATTCTACCACTTTCCCCTGTCCTCCCATGGTTCTATCTTTGCAGGGGCTTTGCTTGCTGCTCTCCCTTTCAGAGCTGTCCATGCATCTTTCACTCCATGTGCTAAAGAACAGATTCAGCAAAGTAATGAGAACATATGGGGCACCCATTTGCTTATTAATTTCCTCTGACAGCAGAGCAAAAACTGGACAAATTATTTGTTTATTCCCCCATCAGAATCCTCCACATTGATAGAATCAAGCCCCAGAAGAGTCCTTCCCAGAAGAACCTTTGTCATCCACACTCTCCCCTTCCATTTGTGAACACTCCCTTCTCCTGCCCTCTCAGTGCAGTTTCTTTTCAGTGATGTTGATTTCCTTGCCAGGTTTCCATCTTCCTGATCTGTTTCTCCTCCCCATCCCCAGCACTTGGTGTCCTTTCCATTTACATTATTACAATCAGAGCTACCCTCACTCTCAGACAAAACTTGATCCTCACCTTATAGCACAGAAAAGTCCTCCTACCTGCTGAGGTTGTTTGCAAACCATTTCCAAAGGGCTCCCTCAATTCCCAGTTAATCTGGGGTCATGAGAATTACCAGATATGTTCATCCTACAGAGGGACTGTATGCATCATGTCCTGTATCTGGCTCATGCCCTGGGAGCGGAGGTGAGAGAGGAATCCCTGCAGCTTCCCCCTCCAACAAGCTACATGCAGACTTGCTGTTAGAGATGCAAATGCTGAAATTTAGTAATTACATAGTGCTGCAAAACACTACCTGGATGCTAACAGACAACAAAAGGCCAATTAAAAAAAAATCCCTTAGATATCCAACTCCCACTGAAATCAATGGCATAGAGGCACCTAAGTACTGTTAAGGAGCTGGGTCAAGGTGTCTTGGGGGAAGGCCAGGACTAGCCACCTGGTCCCTCAGACCTTATGCTCTTGTGCCATTATCCATAGAGAGACATCCCAGCACACATCAGCTATGGCCAGACTGTGTCCCTGGCATGTCTGGAGAGGGGCACACTCTGCATCTGGAAGGTAATGGTGCAACTGCCCTGGTTTTGATCCTGAAATCACCTTCAAGAACATCAGGCACCAACATCTTGAGAGTGGCCATTGGTGCTGCAGCCCAGGAGGATCCCTGCTGCAGCATTGCTGGGTTTGGCACACGTAGCTGGACTGGAGAGGAGGGGCATGCTTGGGAGTATTCCTCCCCAGATGTATCAGAGATGGGGTGTTGACATGCCCACTGAGGCTGGAATAGCAGTAAGATTCCCCACTGCTGGCCCTTCTATAGCTCCTGTTGGGATGGAGTGTCTTTCACCTTTCCTTAGTAAAACCTATTCACAACACATGCCTATAAAAGGTAGCCAATCTCCAGTCTTGCTAAACCAATCAGTAGTCTAAGAATGGAAGCGGTCCCCAAGATTCAGGGATATTACTAGACTTAGCTGCAATTGCTAGAGATGTGTAATGACTGCAGCCGCCTGCACAAGGAAGCCAGTCAGGACAGCTAACCTGAACACATTTTTTAATAAACCACCAAATAAATGTTGCAGCTGCAAACTGGAACGTATGGTCTAACCCATATAAGTGGGTTGCTTTGGCAGTCAAAAAATTGCCAGACATATGAACTGGGCTGTTAATTCTTCTAGTCTCTCAACTGCTGTCAGTGTTGTGTTATTAGCTATGATGAAATTGACAAGGTCCTGTCAATTTCACAGGTGTTCTTAGATGTCAGGCCTCTGAGTAACAAGGTGAGGAGCCTGAATGAGGTGTGAACAGTTGAGCCAGGCTGAGCCCACCCTCTGAGTAACAATGTAACAAGTATTCATGAGGTTCAAGAAAGCTGAGAGAAGGCTGTTCCCCCACAAATTAGCTTTCAGACTTAATTCAGAAATAACTGAAATCAGATTTAGTAGCTTGTACTATAAATAAGCAATAAGATACAATGAACAATGGTTGGCTGATCCATTACCTACTCATGGGTTCCTGCTAGAAGTTTCCTGAAGTAGGAGAACATACCTGGAACATCTTCCTATCTCTCTCCTGCACCCCCCACCCCAAATAATTTCCCATGGCACAGCTTTATATATGCATAAAACTGTCAAAGATAGTGCTTCTGCACCCCACAAATTGAAGGGTACCTGTAATTTACTAGGCTACTAAATCTTAATGTTATCTAGTATTTTGCATTTATGTCCGTCTCATACCAGAATTCACCATAAATGGTGGTTAAAATGTTAAAAATTGCAACAGCTAGTACATGTACGTCCCACAAGATGCACCACATGAAAAACACTTATTCTGAAAAGAAGGGAAATTTATCAGTTATCCTAGGAAGTTGTTTAGCATTTTGTAGTTTTATGGGTAGATTTTAAACACTGGTTACCTATTCTTGCCAACTAGGCTCTAACCCAGGGGTGGACAAAATATGGCCCATGAGCTCAGGTGCAGGGGGCAGTCCAGGCTGTGGCATATGTGATCAGTCCTGCCACTCCCATGTGTAGAGGTACTGCCCGGTGCAGAGCACAGCCCACCCTGTCCCCATGTGTGGCTCTCAGGCACAGCAGGAGCTGTAGTCCATGGGATTTGGTGGCAGGGTGGTGGTGACGTAGTATCCAGACTTGGCTTCCTGGCACCCCTTGTGGCAGCAGTTTACTCTGCCCTCACACTTCTAACTGCTATTGCCTGTGTCTCCACCACCACTGTCAGATCCAGACTTGCTGCCCGGGCACCCCAGCCATCCACCCCATGCCCACTGCCAGGGGTGCTGGATGGAGCAGGCCAGGCAGGTAGGGTCTCCATGGAGACCAGCCTGGGACCCTCTGCAGGTACAGCATGCTTGGCTGGGTGGATGGGATGGGGCCACAGGCAAGTGTGGAGCAGTGTCCGGGAATGCAACAGGTAAGCTGGTCCAGGGCTGTAGCCAGGGCCAGAATCACGGGGCAGTGGCAGCATGGGGCCAAGGCCTGGGGCAGAACTGGCACCCATCGCAATGGATGTGTGGGGAGTGGATAGCAGGCCCCAGCTCTGTGCTGTCACTGCCCTGAAATCCCAACCCTGGCTCCAGTCCCCTGTCCTGCTCCTGGATGCTGCTTCCCACCTCCCTGCAGCCCCATTTTATCTGTCCAGCCAAGCACGCCCTGCCCATGGGGGTCCTGGGCTGGTCTCCATGGAGACCCTTCCCACCCACCTGCCCATTCCGTACAGTGTTCCCAGTGGTGGGTGTAGCTCAGACAGGCCTGGGGTTGAATAGGATCAATTGGCATGTCCCCAGCCCCTTGCTTCCCCCCCAGCTGTGCCAGGTAGTATAAGCAGCTGTGATAGGGTCTGAGGCCAGGGACACGCTCTGCTCCCTCCCCTCAACAGCTCACCAAAACTTAAGTGGCTTTGCAGCCCAAATAATTACCCACCTCTACTCTAACCTGAGGCCTACTAAATACTTTATTTACAAGCCTTCAATCCTGTCTGTTCCCAGTTTGTGTTTCCATTCTGCTAATTCCTGTAACAGCAGAATACATACTCAACTTTTACTACATAATTTATCTACTCCTTCCCCTCCTTCCCCCCACCCCCATCTCTACATTTTTGCTTTGCTTTTTGTTAGAAGGCTTCCTCAATTGTGCAACCAGATTTGGTTGGTCCCTAACATGGTTGTTCAAAGAGCTGCTGCAAAATGTAGCATTTTTTTGCTCCCAAGGGCCCTCGAGTCTAACGGTCTGTGTTTCCTTATTATAGGACCTTGGATTAGAAGGAACATTCCTCAGTGAAGTTCTCTACAAGAATGCTACCTTCCTCAACTTGGTGGATCCTATCTCCCATGACCTCCTGATGAGCCTAGCTAGAGATCTGCAGTGCCCAAAAAAGGTGAAGACTTCTAATACAATAGTCAAGGGTAAAACCCTCTTTGTGATAAAAAGCTGACACAGAAATGAGCCTAATTAACTGATCAATGTCACCCCATTTTCCCCTGAGTTAATAGAAGTGCTGTAGTTCTCCCAAAACAACCAACACGCTCCCACAGTATGACATGACGTATATAATCCCACATATTTATATAGGAGCCAATTTAAAATCAAGTAGCTTCAAGGTTGATGCGTTAAATGTACAGAAGGTAGGAAATTCATTCTCACAGAGACAGTAAACAGCTGCAATTTGCATGTACAGATGTATCAAATTATGGATCACATTCACTAGTACTGTCCAAAGATGCAAAGGAACCAATGCATTTGACTCAAAAATATCCTGGGCTCAATTCTCTACCACTCCATATGTGTAACAGGGAACCCTGCTACTGTTATTAGGGAGGGAGAGACTGAAGCTCCAAATACAGACCTGCCCTCTTATAAATACCTCTGGGGCTCTGTATTCGCTGCAATTAAGTGCTCACATGTACAGATGGAGTCAGGCAGAGATTCCAAGATCTAGCCTTGTTCAGATGCATAGGGAACTGGTGCCCACTTAGTCAGGGAGGCACATGCCCACACCAGAGACCAGTCAGCAACCAGAGGGAAGGTCCCCCCTGCGGCCAATCCTGCCGACTGGGGTGGGGGGTTGTCCCCCGTGGCTGATCACTGCAGTGCACCACGGTGCTCTACTCTCCATCCAGTGTTTGCAGGGTGAGCACAAGCCTAAGTGGCAAGCGTGGCCGGTCAGGGTGTGCATGTGCACCCCCTACACAATCACTGCTGGTTAACAGGAGATCTCTACCTACTGTTTCCCTCATTTTGTTTCCCAACTCATGCACTAGTTCCATACAGACTTTTTTATTATCCAAGGCCTCCTCAGTATGGAGCTAAATCTCCCCCAGCTGTGGGAGGGCCCAGCAGTCTGGGGAAGGAATGGCAACTCTTGAGTCTTAAAAGATGTGGCCCTAAATGAACAGCTTTGTAGTGTGTCCCTGATCCACTGCTTTCACTTCTATGATCAGCAGTTTGTACAACCTGACATCTGTTCCTAGAAGGGGGGAGTTAAAGGGGCCTGTGGGTCAGTAAAACAATCAGATTTCTCACCATTTTTGCTGTTTACTTCTAGATATTTTCTTAGCTGGGGTCATGCAAGTAGGCTGGTCCTTTTTCACCTAAGGGCTCCTGGTGCTATAGCCCAGTCCCTGCTGTGTTTGGGTTGCTGTGGAAGGAAAGTTCTTAGTCAAAAAGATCTGCGGGTTTTTTTAAGTGAGAGAAGTTCTTCTGGACAAGTGAGGGTGTTTATAGCAAACCCCAACTAACTGAACAATGTACTACTACTCTGCTTTTTTGGTGCCTCAAAACCTGCACAGAATGTGGCCCTCTGTGCCAGGCACTGTCCACTCCAGCTATGTATGTCCTGCTCCATGAACATGAGCCCCTGGCAGCTGTGGGGGCATGGTGGCAGTGGGCATGCAGCAGCGGTAAGTGGGAATCATGGACCTCCCACAGGTGCAGCCGACAGTGCCAGCACTGCCTTTTTGTAGAGGGTGCACTGCTATGCACCCCCTACACAATCGCCCCTGTTCAGATGCATCTAAATGCTCAGACATACTCATGCTAAAGGATCTAAGGCAAGAAGAAAAGAGCTTTTCTTTCCTCCCTGTACCAACCCCCCAGCCAGTTCTCTGGTGGGGAGGTTGCATGAAAAATCTCCATCCAGAGGGTGATTGCATCCTAAAGATTATAAACATCTGAAAATAGGGGCTTCCAATGTAAACACCTCTTCAGCCATACCTTCCATGATCAGAGGCCTTGGAGTTCTAAATCCTCTGTTTTGACTGGTGCCTCAGTCTCACAAAGTATAGGATATCCCAGGTGAGCTACCATGACATGGTGTTTGGCAGGCAGAGTCTACTCTATACACCATTATAGAGAGGGCTGCACACACCTGTGTGTGTTTAGAAACACCCCCGTTTCTGAAGACACTGAACACCTCAGTTGCTCTTGATGTCAATGGGATTTAAGTTGAGGGGTGGAACAGACTCAGCACTTTGAAGGATCAGGTCTCCCAGGTACAAAAAGGGATAAAATAGTAGCACTCAGTCTCCTCGTCAGTTTATTTCTGCTTCGCCTCTGGACACCTGGCAGGGTGGAAATCTGGATTACAGCTATTAAGCAGAAAGCAAGCACAATTTCCATTCTGCCAGTTACAATAAAATCAGGTATCTGATTCCAAGGGCATCTGAGGTAGAAGAGGCAGGTTTAGAGCTGCCTCAGGCATAAACTAGAGGAACACTTGCAGAGCCCTGTGCTAGGCTCTCAAAAGCAACCTGGTAAGCACTAAAGCTAAAGAGTGACTTGGAGATGTTCAGCACAGCAGTGGGCAGCAGAGAAACATGCAGACACAGCTAGGCCCCAGAGATCATGCCAGTCCCACTGGCACTGCACAGTGCAATGGGGCCTGTGAGCAGGTGTGGCCAGTACACCTTGCCAGCTGCTTGTCACCAATAGCACTATACACATCAGCTGTAAAGCCATACAGTAGCATCACATACACACCATGTCTTAAGGGAGTTAGGAAGCTTCAGCTTCTTCCTAGGAAAGTTCCAGCACAGCTGTTTGCCCAGAAGTACGGTCCTCTAATCACTCACAATAAAGAATGGAATTAGCATATTTTCTGACAGCTTTACTGTATGTTTAGCTATAAAATCCCTAATTACACATATGTTGTGTTGCAGTCACAAGGCTGAGGAATGGGAATGCAGACAGCCAGGAGGGCTTTTATAACAAGATAACTAGAGATACTGCGAACCCTTCACCTGATGAAATCAACAGCCTGGCACTTGGGTAGCCTTTAGATCTGTTGTTTGTCATTCAGCTTTGATAGGGGAAGTCAAGGACTATTCAAAGACAAGAACAGTTAGAACATGTGCAAAAATAAGCTTGGAAGCGTAAGTATTTCAGGGCCATCTTTTACCAGCAGGAGTTAGTGGAGGGAATTCAGTGAAATTACTAGCTGTGAGGAGCTCCAGCCTCCCAAGGAATGGTGTATAAGTGCCAGCTATGCAGGGAGCATATGGATATTCCAGTCCCAGGCTCAGCCAGCAACAGCCACTGTAGGGACTCCCTGAGGCAGAGGATCTCCAAGGATTTCATTTTGCCCCTGAAAGACCATCCTACACATTACTCAAATTTCATCCCACCAGAAGCTACTCACTTGCTCTGAGAATCTCTGCCACGGTCCCCACATTATGCTCTCTAGAGCAGGGCTGGACAAGAGTTTTCTTTGAACAATTTCAAATGTTTATTAAAAAATGTCAGCAATATTTGGGGATTTTTTAGGCAGCCCAGTCCTGGAAAAAAATTCCCAATGTTTGCAACCAAAAGAAAAGAAAAAAGGAACTTTCCCTTCAGAAGTGTCTTTGGCTTTCTACACTTCTCCCTTAGCTTTTAATGTAAATTCTTTTTCCAGGTGAAAGTTCTCATTTAGTTGAAAAGCCATTTCCAATCTAAAATAATATTTTTTGACTAGTCATGTTATTCTTTTAACAAGAATTAACAAGAAGCACTTATCAAGCAGCTCCTGAACTCCGTCTTACAATCTGCCAGAGCTGGAGTCAGGACATCTTTAGGAAGTGCTGTAAGACCTTTGCATTTGGGCAGACATTTAGCAAGCAAAACTAGGTCAATATATTATTTAGTGGGTCTGTGTTTTATGCTGATATTCTAATTCCCCTTTTAAGTGGTTTTGTTTTCTTACCACACATTTTCCTCTTGTTCCTCTCCTGTTTTACAAGTCATTCTGTTTTCTTACTGCAAGCCACCAGGAGCCTTTGATGGGAAGGGCAGCATATACATTGCATAAATAAATAAGAATTCTACACCTTCATAAGCTAAACATTGTGAAATTCTGGAAATAAACAGTAAAAGGAAAAAGCCAATTCCCCACTGACATATAACCCATCACCACCGATTCTTATTCTGTCTGTCCACTTCATCCAGGCAGTGCCACCATTGCCCTGGTACACTGGTCTGCAATGGAAATATACCATTGGAGGAGTACTGCTGATTGCAGCACTGCAAAGAGGATCAAGTCTCCCAGCACATTCCTTTATGACACTGTTGGATGGAAGAGTATTTTTATACACAGATTTGTTTATCATTCCGAAGTGTGTTGGTTACATGCGCTTTCAGGATTATGTAAGCCTGCAAGTTTATATTTTTAACTGCATTGTATAGCAGCTAGCATATGTTGTTTTTTGGAGTGAGTAAGGTTGTGTATTATAGTGCATTGGAGATGGAGCCCTTTGTAGAGTTACAGCATATGGGTTTCCTGGGGAATTCTTGACTAGGAACTTTTTGTAAGGGATTGCAGATTTTCAGACCTGATCTCAAAGTTGAGCGGAGGAGAGCAAGTGATACATATTAATATGGCAATGGGAAACTGGCTGGGACCCCAGAACCATTCAGTTTGAGATGGTCACATCTTTGAGCTTTTTTAAAAGGTGCAGGTATTTTTAAAGTATGACAAAGGACTGGAAGCAGCCATGTCTAAGAAAACAGAATGACTTATAAAAACAGGAGAGCAACAAGAGGAAAATGATACCTGACAAGACAAGCAGTCTTGTCCAGAGAACCCCCCAGGCTGAAGCAGGGAAAATCTAAATGTTTCCCAAAAGTTGGGAGCCTCTAAAGTTAAAATACAAGCACCAGTCCACTGCACACCCTTGGCTAGAACCGGTACTACCTCTCATATGGCTGCTTCTGAGCAGTAATGCCTTTCTAAATACTGGCCCTGCTCCCACAGGCCAAAGCAGGGATGTGCCCATGCTGGGATGTTATCCAAGGCACTCTTTGAGGCAGTTGCAAAGAAAGTTTACCCTGCCCCCATTTGAAGGCCTAGTCTTAATCCTGGCATGAAAGAAAGGGCCTTGGCCAGGGGACAAGTCACGGAACTTCATTGAGATTGGGTTGGGGATGTTCCACTTGTTATAGCCCTGACTCCCATTTCTGGAGCTCCCATCAGTAGTGTTCTCTTTCCTCCTTCCCTTTGCTTCCTCTGTTCTGTTTCCCCCTCTGACTCTTCTGTTTCATCTTCCTTTTCTCTTTCCCTTGATCTCCCCTCCTATTACCCCATTTCTCCACTGCCTTTCCCCCCCTCCACTTCCTTCTGGCACTTCTGTCTCTTTGCCCCATGTTCTTCATCTCTAGTTTCTTACTCTCCCACACAATCCTTTATTTCATCTCTAGTTCTCTGCTGGCCCAGTCAGCCCAGGTACATTGACAAAATGTACCAGAGCTGCACAATCCAAGGCTGAGTTGTCTTTTTGGTTTCAGGAATATGATCCTTGGAAGTCCTCGGACAGAATCTGCAGGCAGCTGATTTACCATTTGACCCCTCATTCGAAATGGCACAGGCATGGCATGCCACGGAGGAAGTCCCAAGCATGGTGAGTCCTGGAGGGGGAAGGGATGGAAGAGAAGCAACCTCCCAGAGTCCCTCCTAGTCATGCCAGACACAATAACTATTCCAGCAGCTCAAACTTAGCATTACCATGGCCTGGTGTTTTCCCAGCCCTGCCTACACCCCCAAGAGAAATGCTACATTCAAATATTTGAACAATAACCAAATCCTTCATTTGAGTCCTGTTCCCTTAAAGGAACCTCAGCCCAAACTGTGCAGGGCCAAAATATAATGACCCTGGTTTATTATGTATTCTTTTATAGTCCCTAAAGCTCCTCCTGCCCTGCAAGGCATGTTCCATTCAATAATGCTGAACTCCCATGATGGACAGTTCTCCCTGCAGGCCAAGTAAGACATTAACCTTCCAACGCTGTAATTTTGCATGAAGTTGGTACTGGTAGAAGCTGCCAGATGGACACACTGTCAGGGCTCCCTCCCTTCCCCAGGGAAGGTGAGTAACTTACAGGTCGCACACTAAGGCAAAACAACAAGTATAGCCTTTTTTTTCCAATAAAGAAAGTTAAAGACAGACTACGTAAAATTAGCACAAAATAAAACTTCAAGTTGCAAGCATGTCGGACTGGAAGAAGGGCACTCTCCCCCTTACCCTGAGTTATTACCTGATGGGTCTCGGGAACCCCACCCTGCGTTCAGGGTGGCAAGACTACCTCCTTTATCAGGTCCTCAGCCTTGTCCTCTCCGAAGTAGTTCCACCCAGGGCCTAGTTCTTATGACCTTTACATCTTTACTCCTTCCTGTTCCCATTGGTTCCTCCAATCACACAAAAGCTTCTAGCCTTATCACTTTTTACGGGTTAAAGCAAGCATTGTCACGTGCTGCAAAGCAAGGTTATTTTTGGGCCATGCCGCAGTTCCCTTTTCCAGAGACGTTAGTTTGGGTACCTTTCCAGAGCCATTAGGTCATTTAAGAGCAGTTCCCCTTTCCAATACTAGCAAGTCAGCAGATGCAGTAGGTCATTATCCTGTGGCCTCCAGGTTCTGCAAAGCAGACTCCCCCTTCCAGGTATTAGCTTGGCCTCCTCCCAGACACACCCAAAACACATCCCTTTACTAGGATTAGCAGATACTCAAGCTCCCAAATTCTGCTTGTGATCTTGTGTATCCCAGCTATATTTATCTGTGGAGTTATTTCTTATTTGTATAAGTGAAAACAGAGCAAGAGCCAAGGTGCCACCCAAGCATAAGTGTCCTACCCAGTTAGAACCACCTCCAAGAATGGGAAGGGGAGATGGCTCCCCAAGACCATCTTATTCTCTTCTGAGACCCTATTTCTAATTACTACCATTAGTAGAAAGGGGCTTTGAAAACCTGTCTCGGTACTTTTAAGGACACTGTGGCTATTGGCAGCTACACGCTGCTGCCAGGGAGACGGGGGTCTGACTTGGTGGGGATCCTGACCCACAGACAACAGAAGCAAGACCACAGAGCTTTCTTCCATGGGTCAGGAAACACCCAAATATCAACAACTGTCAGTTACAACTGGATTTAAATATCACAGTGAAAGGCTCCAAATCCTAGAAACAATCTCCCCATAAAATCCCATCACTTTTCTAAACCAGTTAACTTCAAAATCCCACTAGCTTGCTGGGATTATGATTCTGAGCCCATCTACATACAGAACCAACATGGGCCCCCCCCCCATCACCACATTACCCAGATACCCCCTGTTCTGTATATTTATATTCACAACACCTCCGTGAGGCAGAGGTGCACATGCAACTATCTCCATTTTACTGAGGCACATTGAGGCCAAGGGACTCGCCCAAGGTCACACAAGAAAACTTCGGTAGAGCAGGGACTTGAACCTAGTTCTTCATAGTCCTAATATAGAAGCCTGGACACCTTTTTACAATGTGGTTTTCCCAGTTCTGTCATCAGCTGCCTTGTTCTCTGTGCAACTGAAGACAAGGCATCAGGAGTGAGCACACCTGTGTAACACTGCTCCTTTCAAAATACAGGGATACAGAAAAGCCCAACCAGCCCTTCCTTACCACCCAGCCATAGAGTTCTGTGTCTCATCAGGGCTTCTGACCACTGGGAAGAACCCAGGGACCAGCTGGCTTGTTGCATCCTGCATCTGTGAGGGGACCTGCAAAGCTGCTCCCTCTCTGCAGTGAAGGTCCTGATGGAGGAATGCTCTGCTGCTGCTAGGGCTATTTGTCCTAAGCCTAAAGCTTACTGAGCTAATTGCTATTTCATTAGCCAGCAGCTGGCCCAAGTAAAAGCTATTAGTACAGTGAGCAGCCAAACCAGAGAGACTGTCCGGGAGTGAATTGGCATCAGCTAGGTAGACAGCCTCCTCTCCCTGAAAATGCATGCAGTGCCTTGGGACCCCCTGAGGATGGGAGATGGAGGGCGCGATCAAAAGATGTGTGGATGACTGCTTCTTTGTTCTGAAGCAACAAGATATAACTGAGGGGTCTGTGGGGGGCGGTGTTACAGGTCAGGGAGAGTTCCAAGAGTCTGTGGAGGGGTAGATTAGCCTGATTCCTCTCAAGTTTTCCTCTGCTTAAGAACCTGAAACCTGGTGAACCTGGCCTGGTCCACCTTTTCATGTGAAATGTGCCCTCAGCCTCAGCTTCCAGGTAGAATCGGGACGCTCCCTGGTTAGACTTCAGCATCAGAGCTTACCTCAGCTCTGGTGGAATTCCACAAGGACTAGATCAGGGGGACATACTGTTCTCTTACAGGGAGAAGAGAGAGCAGCTCTCAGCTGCAGGCCTTTAACTGACTGACTGTCTACAGCTTTGAGCTGGGAGCAGAAAGCTGCTGGTAACAACAGGGCTCTCAGTTTCCCAAGACCCAAATGCAAAACTCAGGCCCAAGCTGGAGGTTACAGTGCTTTACAGACCTTTGTTTTCCACAAGCAACTGTAGCATCTCCGTGGCCAGTAATTCCCAATGATAAGCAGTGAAGTAACCAGAAGCTTGCATGCAATGGGAGGGCAGCTGAGGTCTGACATGGGCAGCGTTGCTTTGTAATCATCAGATACAAGCCAAGATGCATTATATAAGTTCTCTGAACTGGTTAGGCTCTAAGGGGACACCCTGAACTGCCTTTTGCTTGATTAAATGTGAAACAGCACTTTGCTTTTTAAACTTTACTATTGAGTCACTGCAGCAAAATGGATAATCTCATCAGAAGGCTTAGAAATATCCACTTTGCTTTTAAACATTGGACCCGATTCTGCACTGCCTGCATTCCCATCTCTGCAGATTGAATGTAAAACATCCCACCTCATGCAAATCCCCCCACACTCGCTCACACCAATAGTAGTAGGCAACCATCAATTCTTCTGGATCATAGTGCATATGTGAGAAATCACCAGGAAGGAGTATGGAGAAGTGGAAGCTGCCCAGACCTTCTGCCCCCCCACTTCAGACCATTGAGACTTAGAATCCAAAGGCCAGACCCAGTCTGGAAATTTGGTGCCTCAATGGCCATAGTTATATGCTTATCAGGATTCAAACTGGGGTCTCGTGCATGGCAGACATGGATTCTACCACTGAACTACAACAGTGAGTCTGCCAATAACAGTGTTTGACAGAATGCGCAGAATCAGACCCTCTGCAATCTGGGTCTGATGACATGAGTCCTTCCTACCAAATAGCTGCACTGTAGGGCTGTGCGAAGCTTTGGGTGCCGATTTGATTTGGAGGAGATTCGGCCCAATTCAGTCGCCCAGTATCCAAGTCCAGATCAAATAAGGGAACCAATAAAAGGTCTGAAATGATTCAAAACTCTCCGAATCTTCAGAAAAGATTGGGAGACCTTCAATGATTCGGGGAGTCCCTGCTGGTTGCAGCAGGGAGCTGGAGCCAGACTCGGAGCAAGTAAGTAGGGAGTGGGAGAGGGGGGAGGGGACCTTGGGGGGACCCCTGCCAGGCCCCATCCCCTGCCTGCTCCCCCAGCCCCCCCAACCCCGGCTGCCCTGCCTACCCCAGCTGCCAGCCCTTTAAAGAAAAGCCCCAGTGTTCACTGGGTGCTGCCAGGTGGGGGGGTGATCCCTGCTGCCCCCACTGCCCCATGCTGCATGGGGGGGCTCTGCTAGGATCCC